AGGCTCTGGTCAGTAGGCCTCCCCCTTGTAATAATAAAGTCTATTTAAACCTTGGGGGGGGGGGGGAGGAAATATAAACACCTCTTTTAAACATCTGCAATTCAAACAGCTAGGGTGAAGTTACCGCAGAATAGTTTTTGAGGTGGTTCCAAAAATAAACACCAGATCTCGTGACAATTGAGTCTTTATGGTGCAGAAAACCCTGACTCACTTGAAGACCTGCCTCTAAAAACAGGATTGCCTGGGCTATGCCCACAGAAATGGACATGATTGGTGGAAAAGGGATCCTGACATTGTTCATATGAGCTTTGCGATGTTTATTCCCTTGGGTGATTCTAATATACAGCCACAGTTCAAGACCCCACTCACTGCCTTAGACCAAAGCAAAAATACTAATGCACGATGATTCCCCATCATGGTCTACAATTACATGGCACTTAAAAAAAAATATGTTGTAGAATTTATAATGACGGCAAATGTTTGATGCAAACATGAGTCATGTGGTATTGTGGCAAGCTTTTCTGCCAGTATTTCTGAGATTGAAAATGTTAAACCCATCCAAAAAATCCACACTAGATATTCTCAATAAAGACTTTAACAATACCCACGGTCAACGAAATATACCAGTTTCGATTATATTAGGGGTACAGTTATTCTCTTGGGCATACTTTAACGACTCCACTTCCCCAAAGAAAAACTTTTTGTTACCACTCTATTTTTCTCATACCTGGAAGCATATACTGACTGGTTAGGGATCCTAGGATGCCTGTCTCTTTCCTAAAATCTCTGATACACTTCCCTTATTTACTGTTTATCTCACTACCTAATCCTGTAGCCACTGCTTTTTTGTATTGTGATGAGAATATAAAATAAGTGACCTGCTATAATAATAGGTCTCCAATCCATCCGTTTTAACCTCCTCCTCGGTCTAATAGAGCTGGGAGATAAATTTCACCTTTTCCTCTTTCCCAAAAGAGTGCTTTGAACTCTTAAATAGTCATAGACAAAATAGTAATAATCCAACTTGGATAATTAATTCCTAAGTAATCAAAAACAGATTAACTCTGCAATCTGAAACATTTAGAAATACTGCATTACTCCTACTGTAATTATTTTAACATTTCTACTACCAAGGACATATTATCTTGAAAGACAGAGACGAGCATTTACTTACCAAATCTCAATATTAGAATGTGAAGAGAGAAAATGTACTTCAATAAAAATGAAGTCACTTTACAAGTGACCAATTCACAAACCTTGCATTATACCAAACATTTGTAAAATAAAAAGTAACAAATAATTTTCTTAAATCATTTCCAATCACTGCTTCAAGACTAATCAAATAAAACAAGAAATTGCTCAATGATTTTCCTCAAATTATGGAGAAGCAATAGATTGGGATGATAGAGCTGGAGATCTGAAGCCAGACATCCAGTTCAGTGTCCTGGCTCTTCCACTTACTTGCTGTGTGATCATGGGCAAGTTATTAATTCCTCAGATTTCCTCATTTTACTCTTCTGTAAATGGCACTAGTGCCAGTACATACCAGCCTCATAGGGCTGTCATGAAGAATGCGTATCACTCAATGCAGCGCCTGCAGCATGCATACTACACTCCTCCTTAACTTATGATGCTTACTCTCAAACCCATCATGAGTTAAAAATGTAAGCAGAAAATGCACTTACACACCTAACCCACTGGACCCCTGAGCTTGGCCTGGCCGACCTTAAACGTGCTCAGCACACTTCTATCAGCCTACATTTGGGCAAGATCATCTCACTGCTGACCAGCATCACGAGACTCTTACTGTATTATCACTAGCTTGGGAAAGATCAGAATTCAAATACAGTTCCTGCTGAATGCATGTTGCTTTAATATCATAAAGTGGAAAATTCCTGTCAAACCATGGTAAGTCAGGGACTGTCTATAATTAGTAAATAAATACTCAAAAGATACAAGTGATTGGGTTATCTGTCCTTCACAGAGACGCAGATACTTCAAACTGCCGCTTACTTTGAAGATTCTATGTACTGTAGCAGAAGATAAATCATTTCAGGAACTAGACCTATGGAGGCAGTAAAAGAAAGATTTGGGACTAATTAGAGAAGAATCTGATCTTGCTGCTTTTGAGTTGCAAAAGTACCTGCTTTATCTTTCAAGTAAGAGATTGCTATGGCAAGTGCAGCATTCCACTCGAGTCAAATCAGACTTAAAGGGTGAGACTGCTAGAAACTTTTAGGTTTCCAGTAGCCCATACAGACTGAGAAAAACCTTTCTCGATGATGCCATCTCCGTTCTTTAACTTGGCGAGGCAGGCAGCGCCCGGTGCTGGAACAGCTGTCACTTGTGAGAAGCGCTGTAGCTGTGGTTAGGAACAGGCATCCGATGCCTGGTCACAGCTCTGGCTGTGCCACCTACCAGCTGTGTGCCCTCTGGCAGGTTACTTAACTGCTCCACCGCAGTGTCCTTATCGGCAAAATCTAGGTAATGGTTAGCTCATAGGGTTGTTGCATTGAGTTAATTTATGCAAAGTTCTTAGAACAGGGCCCAACAGAGTAAGCACCCAAAAGGTTACGAAAACCTATCAGTGTGAAACATTTCCCTGGGATTAATGACATAGCTGTATAAAAATATACCTTAATCTCACCCAGAAAAAAAAATCCTAAAATCTAGTATTTCCATTTTTTAGATATCTGTATTGGTACCAGACATGAGGTAGTAAGTACAAAAGCACAGGAGGAAGTACAAGGATCACATCTTCATGCAACTAACCTCTCGCCTAAAGACCGGCCCTGAGGCTAGAAAGGAGTACCAGGATGACTTGCCAGCGTCTCTAGAGAGCTATCGCACATCTGACAGGCACTGGGACAAACATTTTCACTGAACACCTTGCTTCCATCTCCTATGTATAAGTTAGATTTCTCAACTTTCAAACATTTAGTTTCTTCCCAAGTTCTTTTTTTTAAAAAAAAAAATCAGTCGCATTAAGAATGCCCACAGCATTACCCAAAAGGAGGAATGAATTCTGTGTATCAGGACAGCAATCATCTCAATAATTTTATACTAATTTCTCACAAGCTGACAAATAGTTGGCTTACTCAGAAAAGCATGAATTGGTGTTTTAGTCTGAAGAATTTTAAAGCAAGCCAAGTAATTGTATAAAATTTAAACTTTATGACCATGTTTGGACCTTTTTACACATTAAACACAATGGAAATGTTCATGTTCATTTTTCTCCCCCCAAAGGAAAAATCTCTGAACCATCACTATGTTGCACAGTAGAATAAGGAGTTTAGGAACTTACTCAAGTTTCTAAAGAATGCAAGTAACAGACATGATTTTACTTCCAAAATCTGAAGTCATCAACATTATTTTGTTAGGACTGTGTCTCAGGCTTCACCTAAAAACCCATTAGTCAGATAAAGACAGCCCCCTAGTCACACTGTGTAAAGGGCCTCTGCCCCACCACAACTTCCTGAGATCTGTGGAAAACGGCGTCTTGTGATCAGGTCCCGCCGGCACTGGCAGTTCTGTAGTCATAAGGGGAAAATGGTGACCGAGTCTATGTGTCAATCAGCTGCAGTCTGCTGATCTGATTAGAAGCCTTGACAAATGCCTGGTGGCGATTGCAAATAACTGCCAAGCATATCGGGATAATGCAGTAGCCCACCGTTTTGGGGTCAGCTCTGGTACAAGAATATAGGAACAAAAACATCTGCAGGTAAGGTATCAGGAAAATCACCGTCCACAACCAGAACGGCAGGGAGAGTAACCGAGCCTTCAAGGAGTGTGTCCACGTGGTTCCTTCAAGCGGCTCCTCGGGGTGCTGCTGGATGTGTTCCAAGGCCAGTCTGTTGTACGTCTCATTGATTTCAAACACATAGTAAAACGCTGCTGCGCTTGCTAGCAGATACAATCCCACTCCAATCCATCCCATCCGCTGGCGAAAATTCATCATTCTCCATGCTCTGTGCCTTCAAATTAAAGAAGAAAAAAAAAGAAAATACAGTTAGGGTCTAGGAATGCTGTCAGGGCAACTATTCCAAATGTACTTACTTTATTTCCGACGACTTCTAAAATACCCCGTTACTACATTTACGGTTTAATATAAATTAAAATTGCATTTTATTAAGACATGTAAACAACTTACAGGTGGTTTTACGTAATAGTCCCGAGGAAGTACAAGACGTTTCAGTGTTTAGGGAGTCTGGTTTTAGGTGAATCCCACAGAATAGGTCACTACCTATGGCTTAAATGGGTCCTTCCATTAAAGAACTGGAACCGAAGCGGTTTCCCACGGAACCTTCCATTATTTACAGTGCAAACACTTTCGGACTTAACAGGACTGCTTCAGAGCGAGCACCTGGTTCTACGCGTCAGACCAATGTCGGGGCCAAGTCAGACAGTAAGCACGTCTTCAACACTTACAAGGGTCCCGAGAATCGTGCTGTTCCCACGGCAAGCGTTAGAGAGTCACTCAGCTCTGAATACTCGGGTGGCTTTGGCATGACAGAGGGAGCCGCCGTGAAAGAAACCCCCGGCGTCACCGGCTGGGGCACGGGGACCACGACCCGCCCGGAGCACGAGCTGGCTATGATTAAGCTCGGCGTTCTACTGCGCGGGTCACGCGGCGGCCGGCCCCTGAGCCCCCAGCGCTGTCACCGGCCCCGCCGGAGACTCCCTAGCCGGCCCCGCCCCCTGTCACGCTGCGGCGCCCGCCGCCGCGACCAGGGCTGCGCGCGCGGCGCCAGGCCCGGGACTCTCCGTCTTGCAGCGCCGGGAGCCCAGGGCCGGGCAGCCGCCAGCGGCCGACCCTGCAGAGCTGGGCAGGCGCCGGATCTCACCTTCCTGTCCGGGTTGGCCCGCCCGCTCGCCGTCCCGGATGCTGCCACAGTCGGGGCTTCCGGCTCGTCCCGGAAGCGCGCCCGCCCCGCCTTGAAAGGCCCGCCCTTAAGAGACGTCAGGGTGCGTCACCCCGCGGCACCGCCTCCCCCGGCACGCCCCAAGCAGCTCCTGTCGGGACCCGGGCTGAGGCTGCGGCAGCTGCGTGCAAGTGCGTCTGTGCAGGTGGGTGGCCGCGTCGGCCTCTCCCCGGTGCCTCGCTCGCGACTTTGGTCGCCTCATCGCTCCTCTCGGCGGAGAGAACCGCAGAGCCCAGGCGGTCCGCCATCCCCCCCCCCCCCGACCCGCGTCGCGCCTCTGCACAACCCCTCTGCTGTGCCCGCTCCTCGGGGCTGGCCTCCTGGGCAGCGTCGGGAGCCGGCCCTGGCGCCTCGGCCGCTGCCGGGGCACGCAGGCATGGACCGCTAGGTGACGGCGGGGCGCCCGAGGAGGGTAAGATGGCTGCTTGCCGCAGTGGGGCCGCCTGGCGTCGCCCGCCGGTTGGGGTGCGCGGGGCTCTCCGGGCCCGGGGTCCGTGACACCTTCGCTGACCTGACTGCTTTGTCCTCGCAGGACCTGGCACTCGGGACGGTGACGGGACTTAAACGGGCTACCGCGGAGGAGGACTGCGAACCGCGGCGGCATCCCGGTCCCCAGCACATTGGAGCGGAAGCACATTGCCCGGGGCACCATGACGCTGAGGCTCTTGGAGGACTGGTGCAGGGGGATGGACATGAGCCCTCGGAAGGCGCTGTTGATTGCCGGCATCCCCCAGACCTGCCTTGTGGCCGAGATCGAGGAGGCGCTGCGCGCCGGGCTGGCTCCCTTGGGCGAGCACCGCCTGCTCGGGAGGATGTTCCGGAGGGACGAGAACAGGACCGTAGCCTTAGTCGGGCTCACGGAGGAGACGAGCTTTGCCCTGGTCCCCAAGGAGATCCCTGGGAAGGGGGGTAACTGGAGGGTGATCTTTAAGCCCCCTGACCCAGACAACGAATTTTTAAGCAGATTAACGGCCTTCTTAGAAGGAGAGGGCATGACCTTGGCTGAGCTGACCAGAGCTTTTGGGTATGGAAACGACCCCTTTGACCTAGACCAGAACATGATCCCAGAAGTGCGGGCCCCCATGCTGGCCCAGGCGTTAGACGAGGCCCTTCAGCCAGCCTTGCAGTACGTGAACTACAAAAAGCTGAGGGTGTTCTCGGGCGGCGATCCTCCAGGGCCCGAAGAAGAAAACTTTGAATCCTGGCTGTTCCATACCACCCAGATGATGAAGACCTGGCAGGTGTCGGATGCCGAGAAGAGAAGGCGGTTGCTAGAGAGCCTTAGAAGCCCAGCCTATGATGTCATCCGTGTCCTCAAGATAAGCAACCCTTTAATTACGGTCCCCGAATGCCTGAAGGCTCTTGAGCAGGTTTTTGGGGTTATTGATAATCCTAGGGAGTTGCAGGTCCGATACCTGAGGACTTACCAGAAGGAGGGAGAAAAGTTGTCTGCTTACGTACTCCGGTTGGAGCCGCTGTTACAGAAACTGGTGGAGAGAGGGGCAGTGGAGAGAGAAGTGGTGAATCAGGCCCGCGTAGACCAGATCCTTGCCGGAGCTGGGGACAAAACACTGCGCCGGCGGCTGCCTCTGCCCGAGGATGGCTCAACCCCTGGCTTGTTCGAGCTACTGGAGCTGATAAAGGATGAAGAGGCAACGGAGGCAGAGGAAGAGGAGGCCCTTCTCCAGGCAGAATTATTAGAGGGACATTTCACCTGAATCTTAGGGGACTAGAAAAGGGACAGTGACAGTGAGCAGAGCATGGAGGTAGAATAATCCATATACTACAGTGGTAGACATTCACCCAGCCCTACCTTGTGATGCCAAGTAACTCATTTTTGCACAGTTCTCAGTACAAATCCATTGTCATTTGTGTGCCTACTTAAGGTCTCCTAAGTGTATCATTGACTAGGAAGACTAGTTCTGCACTGGTATTTATATATTTAAATTCATTCTGGTGAGTTTTTTATCATACAAAACTGGACAATAGTTTGTCACTGCATATGTGCACTGCTCAAAACTACAAAGTTCTATCACTGCATATGTGCACTGCTCAAAACTACAAAGTTCTATCACTGCATATGTGCACTGCTCAAAACTACAAAGTTCTATCACTGCATATGTGCACTGCTCAGAACTGTACAAAATTCTATCACTGCATATGTGCACTGCTCAAAACCACAAGTTGCCGTAACCAGTTTGGCTCAGTGGATAGAGGTCGGCCTGCGGACTGAAGGGTCCCACGTTCGATTCTGGTCAAGGGCATGTACCTTGGTTGTGGGCACATCCCCAGTAGGGAGTGTGCAAGAGGCAGCTGATCCATGTTTCTCTCTAGTGGTGTTTCTCTCTATCCCTCTTCCTTCCTCTCTGTAAAAAATCAATAAAAAAAAATATATTTAAAAAACAAAAAAAAACACCACAAAGTTCTGTCACTGCATATGTGCACTGCTCTGAGGAAGGCAGGGGTAAGACCTGATCTTACAGAGATGTCAGCTTGTGTGGTAGCAGGTGCAAGTGTAGCATGTCAAATGTGATTATGTATCAGCTTGTAGGTGTCTGTTGCCCTCCCTTTATCATGATTGTGAACAGTGGTTAAGATATTTTCTGTGTGAACCAGAATTTTGTTGATTCTGTGCAATCAAAACAAGAGACAGAACTGAATGCTGAGGTTAACTTTGCAGCTTCCGTCTCTAACCTCAGGTTCCTGATGTGCATCATCATACATCTAGTTCTGAATATCATTTTAATAGGTATTATAAAATTATAAGTATGACCTTATAAAATAAAGGAATGCTGATAAAATGACCTCTTTTATCTGTTTGGTTTATATCAAATTTCCAAAAGAAATTTCAAAAGTGTGAATCTGAAAACCATTTAGTCCTTAAGTGAGATTGCTGAAGGGAGCTCCTGAAGCACATGGAATGAAACAGGACAGTACACAAATTAGTGCACATAGCAGGTGAGTACACTGATGCATCAGTGCATTGGTTTGAATGGTTTCCCAGCTGATAAGTACAGGGACAAGATTTACAATCAGGCTGTCTATTTCTAGAGTCCTTGCTCTTAATCTATTCTATGCTGCCTGGTTAAATATTCATAGACGCCTATAAGAAACACTATCATTGCTCCTGTTTTATTTAGTTAGTTTTTTGGTTAATCCTCACCCAAGGATATTTTTCCATTGACTTTAGAGAGAATGGAAAGGGTTGGGGGAGAAAGAGAAATATCAATGTGAGAGAGACACATCGATTGGTTGCCTGCAACCCAGGTACATGCTCTTGACCAGGAATTGAAACCGAGACCCTTCGGTTCATGGACCGATGCTCTAACCACTGAGCAACTGCCGAGCACATTGCCCTTGTTTTACAGATGAAAGGCTTGAGGCTCAGAAAGCCTCAGAGTTAAGGGCAAGGGCGCAAAGGGGCATAATCTAATTCCCAATAGCTTTAAAAAAAAAATAAATATATATATATACATATATATATATATTTTTTCTTTTTTTTAAATAATATTTTCTTTGATTTTTAGAGAGAGAGGAAAGGAGAGAAAAAGATAAACATCCATGTGGGAGTAGCACATGTGAGAGGGGAACGTTGATTGACAACTTGGGCATGTGCTCTGATGGGGAATGGAACCCGCAACCTTTCAGTGCACAGGACAAGGCCCAACCAACTGAGCCCCACCTGCCAGGGCCTGAGAGCTTTGCTTAAGGTGCTCTGACATGTGCATTTGGTAAACACTACATCATTGTCAAACATCAAAAATGGCAGTTGTGTTTATGAAGTCATGTGGAGTAATAAAAAAAAAGTTCTTTAAAAGCTACGTTTTGCCTGGCTGGCATGGCTCAGTGGCTGAGCGTTGACCTGTGAACCAGGAGGTCACAGTTCAATTCGGGTTTGTGGGCTCAATCCCCAGTGGGGGGCATGTAGGAGGCAACCGATCAATGATTCTCTCTCATCATTGATGTTTCTCTCTCTCCCTCTCCCTCTCCCTCTCTGAAATCAATAAAAAAATATATTTTTCAACATGAATGACAAAACCCTGAAATACTCTAATTAGTTGTGCTGAGATGATGGGATTATAAGGCTGAGTTAGTTTTTTTAACAAATAAATATGCAAAGGAGGTAGGTGCTCAAGAAGGAAGTTGGCATTTTAAAGGATACAGGAACCAGCCTGAAAGAGTTCCCACTGGTGAAGCAACAAATTTGAGCAATGAAATTGAATTATAACTCAAAATTGTATTTTAACCTAAATTATAAAACAAATGTCTACAATTTCACGCTGAATGAATGACTTTTCTGTAAGTCTAAATCTATTCTAATATAAAATACTCATTGAAATACATACATAGATACTTACATGCATACATAAGCAAGCAAATAATAAATGACCTGGGATGTTAGCCAGTGAAATAAGTGACTAGAGAGTGAAAAACTAGAGGGTCTCCTTTTTCCTAAAAACGGGTTATTAATTAAAACACACACACACACACACACACACACACACACACACACACACACATGCTTATTCATCTAAACACCACTAGGTGGCGGTAGGCACTCAGGCCTCCGCCAGACAAAGCAGGGAAAAGGATTATTTCTTATATAAATGGCATCATACCTGCCCCTCCTCAAAAACTGGAAAACTTCTTAAGTCTTTATGTGGAAAAATACTGAAGTACTCGCTCGATGTTGAACAGTGACTTCCTCTTTAGGTCCCTGACATTTCTAGAATCTTCTAATCAGCTTGTCAGAGAAGCCTGGCCTTGGTAAATTGACTGGTCTGTCTATACAAGTGAGAACATTCTTTTTTAAAATATATATATATTTTTTTATTGATTTCAGGGAAGAAGAAAGTAGGAGAGAGATAAAAATACCAATGATGAGAGAGAACCATTGATCAGCTGCCTCCTGCACACCCCACACTGGGGATCAAGCCCGCAACCTGGGCATGTGCCCTGACCAGGAGTCAAATCCTGACCTCCTGGTTCAGAGGTCAACGCTCAACCACTGAGCCACGGTGGTTGGGCCAAGTGAGAACATTGTTAACCATTCCATTTCACTCCCACCCAGAGCATTTCATAACACTGAAAACTAGATGGTCTCGCTCAACTTCTGAAAGTCTGTTATTCCAAAGAAATGACATTTAGGTCAAAAGTACTCTTTAGGGGGGCAGGAGTGGTGGTGGGGCGGGGGCGCATCAATTGGGGAAAGGGGAGACATGTAATATTTTAAACAATTAAAAAATAATGATAAAAAAATAAAAAATACTCTTTAGCTGTTACAGGTTTCCCACACACTCTCCTGCCTCTGCTACCAGCAAGCCTAACTCTGCTTTTAGAGGTGTTCATTTTTTTATGTATACATGGGTTACCATATGAACTGGACCAATTAATTAAATAGTTTGATTCACCCTAGCCAGTCTGGCTCAGTGGTTGAGCGTCCACCTATGAACCAGGAGGTCATGGTTCAATTCCCCATCAGGGCACATGCCCCATTGTGGGCTCGATCCCCAGTAGGGGTCATGGAGGAGGCAGCCAATCAATAGTTCTCTCTCATCATTGATGTTTCTATCTCTCTCTCCCTCTCCCTTCCTCTCTGAATTCAATAAATAATATATATTAAAAAATAATTTAATTCAGTGAGAGGTAAGTTGAGAGTCAAAAGGCTGTGGTCTAAAATAATAGAATATCACAGATGAGCCAAGTGAGGCTCAGAGAAAGAGAGTGGCTTGCTCAAGTACACACAGCCAGTTAGTGACAGATCAAACTTGAACCCCTGTGCGAGAGGGCACAGGCCGGGCTGAGGGACCCCCCCTCCCCACCCGAGTGCACAAATTTTTGTGCACTGGGCCTCTAGTATATAATAATCAGCATGGCTATCATTTGTTAAACTCTTCCTATGTGCCAGGCATGTTGCTAAATGCTTTCCCTATATTACCTCATTTAATTTTAACTGCAGGCCCTTTTGCATGTATTACTATTCCTGATTTCAAGTAAGGAAGCAGACCTTTGGCTAGGTAAACTGTCCTGCCCAGAGTCACACAGCTAGAAGAGACAAAGAGCTGTCTGGTTCCAGGGCCAGTGCCTTAACCACTGTGCCAGACGGCCTCCAAGAGTGTCTTGGCTCTGAACCAAACCACTTCAACAGTGGGTCTGCCAGTTTCTGACTGTATAACCTGTGAGCCATTGCCCACTCTCTCCCTCCAAAATTAAAGAATAACACAACCCGGATTATGCTGCCACGGAGACCACACTGTCGGCCCCCACCCAGCAACCATAGCCCTCTTCCTCCTTTGTATCTAAAGCCAGATTTGTTCTCCCACTTTACAGAACTGTGAATTTCAGGGGAAACCCAGCCTTCCCCAGCCCCTGCCGGAAGTGGGGCGGGGGCGTAAATCTTAATTAATTTAAGATGATTCTGTACCCTTTGCCAAGTCACTTGTTGGAGGCATGGGCAAATTACACAATTCTAGCCAGTGAAATATGAGCTTCTGTTTTCCATCTTTATTTATGTGTGGCTCTGCTGCCAGAATGCCTCAGTTCAGATTCCAGCCTCCCCATTCAAACTCTGTGTCTTCCCACAAGTTATTAACCCTTCCTGGGCTTCGGTTTCCTCAGCAGAAAGCGGGGTGATAATGGCTCTTCTTGTAGGGTCATCACGAAGACCAAGAGAATGAATCATGTGAAGTGTGGAGAACTGTACCTGCTACCTGCTAAGTATTCAACAAGCAGCTGTTGTGTTTGTGCTTTATTGCTGCCCAGCAAATTACCCCAAAACTTGGTGACTGAAAACAGTCGTTATCCCTCAGTTTCTGTGGACCAGGAATCTGGGAGCGACTTCACCGAGAGGTCCTGGCTCCCCGATAGACCGCAACCGAGGTGCTGCCCAGGGCTGTGGCCATCTTTTGGAGATCTTCTCCCAAAGCTCACCCCCGGGGCCTCTCCACGGGGCTGCCTCATGGCAGGGAGCTGACCTCCACCAGAAGCAAGCGATCCAAGAGAAAGTGAGTGGACACCCAAGACGGAAGCCACAGTCTTTTTATAATCTTATCTCAAAAGTGGCACCCCACCAGGCCAGAGTGGCTCAGTGGTTGAGCGTAGACCTATGAACCAGAAGGTCCCGGTTTAATTCCTGGTCAGGGCACATGCCCAGGTTGCGGGCTTGATCCCCAGTAGGGGGCGTGCAGGAGGCAGCTGATCAATGATTCTCAATGTTTCCATCTCTCCTCCCTTCCTCTCTGAAATCAATTAAATATATATGTATGTATTTTTTAAATGGCACTCTATTACTTCTGTCATATTTTATTCATTAGAAGCAAGTCAAGGGAAGGCCACCAGGGTGTGACTCCAGGAGGTGAGAATCTTTGGGAGCTGAGAGGCTGCCCAGACCAGCTATTTTTTTTTTTTTTAACATGTAAAGAGAGCATGTCTATAGTTTTGTTACTTCCACTTGATATTTAAGTAATAAATTTTTTCTCTTCAAGTTAAAAGAAAAAAAAAATCGTCCGTTACATTCGTGGTCACTAACTCTTCCACGTGTCAGAGTAGTAAACACACGGTTGCTTCGTCCACTCCGCAGGCTGCCACGGGCCCTCACAGGCTTTACAACCAGCACCTTCCAGCTTTTTGGGGCGCAGGCACAGTCACCTCCTCAGTCTCCCTCGACCCCAAGCAGCAAATGCCCAGCGGCTTCCCAGTTCCGATTCCCTTCTGATCTCACCTCCCTCCCATTTGAGGGCCCTTGAAGAAGCAATAACCCACAGGCCCCTAACACGCCCATCCTCCTGGGTGTGGGGAGAAGACT